AGTTGATTGAACAAGCTGCTGCACTGGCCACAGAAAGTCCAGGAGCCACAGCCACATGAAAGCACATTCACTATTTGTGACCCTCCTCGAGGGAAAATAGCTAAAGTCTGCTAACAAAAGTCACTAGATTTGTCACTAGTTGCGTTTATGAAAAAAAACAGTGCTAAAGGGGTCTTAGAAGATGCCAAATCTAGTGACAAAATTGTTCTGTTGGCAAAGCTCATGGATCTACCTGTTAAGCCTCTGAGATATTGTCTTGAGATAAGATGCTTTTTAAGTCATTAGCAACCATCCTCTTATCTCTTTGCACTCATTTGAATCTTTTCCTTCTCTTTCACTCTCCCTTTCCTCCCTGCTCCTGTCCTTTGTTCATCTAAATTCTTGTATCCTTTTTACTTCTCCTAATACCCAGTTCTCTCATTTTATTTCCTCCTCTCACCATTGATCCATTTGTCATTTTCTCGCTACTCCTCATCCCATTCTTCCTCCTTGCTTTGGCAGAGAAAGGCTTGCGTGAGGTCAGGATAATGGTACTAATTTGAGTGTATATGTGTGCATGTCCCCTGTCTGTCCTCTACTAGCTCTGACACCACTCCACTGACATCCTGCTGTGTCAACAATACACATACACCCACCACAAATGACAGCATTTCAAGGGACCCTAACAGGATAGTTTACATTGACCGAGAAGGAGAGAATAGGCAAGGATGGCTGAAGGAGAGGAGGTAAGTTATTATCTGTGTAGTACATCACTGCTGCACATGTTGTTGTCAAGCATAAATGGGCTAAAGTGAACAACAAGGACTGCACCAGTGAAATCTACAGCAGAACTGTACACTGCAGCCACTGACAGGTTGAAATATCCATTTTCATCTATACATTCACTAACAGGGCAGGGAAACGCGGTGTGTAATTTCCCCTTCAAACACTTATTCACCATGAGCAATTAAACAAAAGGTTGGTTCATGGAATGTGACGTGAACCCAAATGAGAACTCTAATCTCCCTCACACTGCTACCACAAGTCCTCCTCAGACTATGTAACAGCTAATGCAGAGAAACATTTTCCCTTCAAGTGTGTATCCTTTATTCTTATGAGTGTAAGAATGATGCCAAAGTGTTGCAGTTGCTCAACAAACTTGCAGTAAAATAAGTGGAATGTGACAGCTAAAACAATTGTAAAGCAGACTGTAGCTATTCCTTGATTCATTTGTTAATTTTCTTTGCTGGTTTAATGCCTTTCATTATTGCAGAGACCTATAAAAGAATTGTAAAAGCTACTACAGTGGTGAATATCTTATGAGTTGTTGCTGTTACTCTGTTGAGACATGACTTGAAAGACTAATGCACTGTTGCTTTTCAAGTGATGTATGTTCAGCGGGCTACACTTCAAGATTGAGCACATCATAAATGCAGAGATGTCTTATTTTTACAGTTTTACAATGCAATTGAGAAATGCTGCCTTCATTTTCCCAAATTTAAAAACATAAATTTAGTCTCCTATCTTCATCTACCAAAATGAGATTGACCTCAAAAAAGAGCAACATCATCATCAATCGTTTCGACAAATGCTCCAAAACAGCAGCTTTATGTTGGAGTGACAAAGCCCTCCAGCAGCTGTAGTTAATATGACAGGAGCAAAAGAGGACGTATTGTAGAGCAATGAAGTGTGTGCAGGGTGGAGGTCAGGGTGAACGGTGAACATCCAGCACCTCAATTTGTTTGCCATTTCCAATCAACAGTCTACAATGTCTACACCCACACTCACTCCTACGGGCAATTTAGAGTCACCAATCAACCTAAGCTACATGTCTTTGGTCTGTGAGAGGAAGTCGGAGTACCTGGAGAGAACCCACGCAGGCACAGGGAAAACATGCACAGAAAGGCACCACATTGGCCAGGGTTTGAACCTGGAACCTTCCTGTTGCATGGCGACAGCAAATGCTCAAAATCTGATGTCAGATTCACTGTACCTGAACAACCGTACTTAAATTGTACAGTCAGAAAATGATCACATGATAAGACAGATTAAAAAGCAACTGCTATTATAATAAGCGAGGTATTAGTTCTCAATATGCATTTAATCATGCAGTGAACATCTAAATGGACAGTTTACTATGTGCCTGTGTTACAACCTACTGTAGGGACCTGTGGTAGCTTAGGTCTGCCAACCTTAGTCAAACAGGCAGCTTTTGTGTGAGGCCTATGGGGAAGTGCTGCCATAGTGCCACAGCTCCAGCAAAAAATCGGTGTACGATGTGGAGGCTCTCTGGATTGCACCTTACAGTTGTAATAGTGACTCGCTGACAGCTACAGCTACCTGGAGTTGTACCCCATGGGTGCCATTGCCAAACAGCTGTCTGTGTTTGTGTTCTGTGAGCTCTCCGTGTGTATAAGAATGCAAGAAAGGGAATATCTGTCAGATAAGATATTAACGAACAATAACAGTTTGCAAATACTTAGTCATCCCATGCACACAAACCACACAATCACAAAGGAGGACTTAAAGATGCTAAACAGCTTATCCGTAGACAGTGATGAGTTTATAGTGTCTCTATGCTGTGATATACCAATACCTGACATCATTATATCAATGCGCTATAATAAAATGTATTTAAATTGGTTGCTTTTGCATTCCCCATTTGACACTTTCTGTATATCATAATTAAAACATCAGCAGCAGAGATTTGGCAAGGAAATTTGTCCTCATTTGATGGATGCTGTTGTTCAAAGCAATTTTTCCTTAGAGAGGAAAAGCCTGAGGAGTATTTGCCTAATTCAATCTGCTATTGCCTTGCTTTACCCAGTATCTGAAGCATATACTGTACTCCAGCAACTAATATACTGTGTAAGTTGATTTGTGGGATGTTGAAATGCAGGGGACCTTTTCCTCATCCTGACACTGTTTTAGTGGTAAAAAGCATAAACCTTTCTTGCAGAGTAGGACTGCACGTCCATACGAATTCTTCTAATGTATATTGTTACTGCTGCACCTGAATTATCTGATTTACAGGGGAAATAAAGAAGTATTGCACTGGTATAATTTCAGCCACTGATTTTTTAAGGTGCATTCAGACTGAATGTGAACTGGATTTTCAAGGTAGACTGACTGCATATATAACCAGTATATATGGGTTTGATCAAAGTGGGGAGAATTGAGGCAAAGATACACTAGTTGGCGACTTTTCAACTTAAATGAAAATTTAGCTGTTATCCCAGTGACATATAACTTTACTTGCACATTTCATGCACATTTTAAAGGGACAGATTCTAGAGTAAAGTAATTAAAACTACTGGAAATCCTGGTATTAACATCAGTCTGATGCTGTGTTGGAACACAAACACACAAAGGTATACTTCACACAGACACACACAGAGTCAGTCACAGAGTAACAATTCTCCTGTCCTATTGGCACTTTGTAATGAACAAACACAAACTGCGAAAATTCTCAGTCAGACATCGGTCAAGATGAGGTGAATTTATTGAGGCAAAATGCAGGGTGCTCCACAGTTTGTCTATATAAAGCTTTAGGCTGTTTATTGTTTTAGGAGTAAACTTATGTTCTCGTATAGTTCATCTGCATGTTATGTTGTCTTTATATAGTCCACTGCTAAACATGCAGTGTGTGTCACAGTGTGTTTTTATGGTTGTTTCCATGTGTCCTTGTTTCACATGTACATTCACAAGGACATAGAAACACTCACGCAACCATATGCACATACAAGAAATGCTTTCATACACACAGGCATATACACCTACACACACACAGAATGCTAACATTATATCTATCTGAATGAGTTCCTTCCATTTTCACTGTGTATTGATCGTACTTAAGCAGCACCACTCCTGTTGGCTTGTACCAGGAAATTGACTTCATATTGAAACTGTCACAGCAAGGGTGCATTTCATTTTAGGCCCTGAGGGCACAGGGAACAAGAGGAACCAATCTTCAGTCCTTCGCATTGACTTGTTTCAGTAATTGCGTTTTTTGAAGGCTTTATTAATTAGCACAGCAGTTCTGCTGTTAGTTTGTGTGGCAGAATGGGTCAGTATTTGAGAATGTCAAAAATAAAGAATGCTTACATAGGCAAAGAAAAAATAAGATACAGATGATGTGTAACACCTTTAACCTTGATTTCATTAAAAGGATTATATCAGTTTGTGACAAGAAAAGTTATGATGTTCTAGCACTTTCTAGGATGCTATAATCTCCCAAATGAGTAATCATTTTTTACCAAATAAAGTCCAGTTAAATTGCTTATTCAGTATTTAAAATATACAAAGCCTGACCATTGAAGTTGCTGAAATGGCCACATCTGTTTAACTGTTTAGCCAGCATGCTTTCATGATATTTTATTTACTTGCTTTGCTTTACCAGAACCCTGAATCACATGTAACTGACCTTAAACAAAGGAAACAAATACGTGCTGCATTGTTATGGTTAAATTACTGCAAAGATTCCCATGTATCACCAATCTTAAATCATTTCCTTGTGACATTCAGCAAAACATTAGAAAGGCCTGCCTGCTGTGATGACTAATTAGATAACACTTATCTTCCAAGACTTCAGATTACAATGATGATTCTACAATATATAGATAATTTGCTGAGTAAATTTACCTCCTCACATTATTGTAATTTCTTAATCCATATTTAACATACCTGGCAGACCAGGACTTTGGGCATTTTGTGAATCCCTTGGTCCCATTTTTCACTTTGGCACATGTTTGATCACTATATCAACTGGTTCACCAATTACAATTTTACTGTCTCCCCAAAATGCAACGGAGGCAGCAATATGGAAAAAAAAAACCCCAATGTGAACTGTGTAGTGCAGCCACTGGAGCTACAAATGCAAGTTCAAAAAAGGTATAAAGCTCCAAGAAAAAATCTTGGATTGTCTCATCCTACCATATGTGTGTGTTTCAGTTTCAGTGTAAATTCTTGATAATTTTTTTTTTCTTTGTACGTATGTCTCTGTGTGTACTTTGATCATGTACCTTGACCACATCCACGTCCGTTGAGCTGCAGGTGACCGAGTCATCCACCTCTCTGACCTGACCGTCAGTTTCCACAGTAACCAGTTTGATTGGCACCGCGATGCGTTGACCTGTAAGAATGGCCATGTTCACCACTTCTGTATCCTACAGAGAGGATTAAAGACAAAAAAGTTTATTTTTTTAACCAATACTTTCTAATTGTTGGCCCATATTATACCAAGTTATTATACTATGCTTGCACATTCACAGCCCTGACTGGAAGTTTCTATCTAAATTTATAAAAGCTGACCACAGCTAGTGGTTGCTTTTTTTTGCAGGAATATTTAGATTGATTTTTTCCAATAAGAGATGGTCACATCATGTTATATTATGGAGTTTATGTATCATAAAAAATGAATTCTAGCCCCTGATGTGCTGCTATGTGAGCTCTTGCATATCTCCACCCAAAGTGCATGAGACAGAAGATATGACTGAAGGTGGTTAAAGATGCTGAAGGGGAGACAGGAGTAAACAACTATCAAAGACCAGGGGAGAGTTTTAAAGGAAGAACTCGAGGATAAAAACAGGTGATTATGAACCTCGCGATTATTGTAATCAGCATGATTACATTTGATTAGATCCTTCTAACAAAAATAGCACAAACAAACCAGCACACACACACAGATACACATAACTCAGAGCATTGTGTGCCAGTGTCAATCTTGATTATTCGACATTGAGATTCCAAGGGGGCATTTATCACCACCGACACACACACACAAACCTGATTACAGGGTATTTTGCTGGGCCCATTGTTTCTGGACAGGAAGTGTGTGTGTATGTTTCTGATATTTGACAGTACAGTTCAGCTGAGCATACAAGACACCAGCAGAGAAGATGACGAAGAAATAAAGAATACTGTACATGTACTATATTATACATTTGGACACACCTTCCTATTCAATTCATTGGGAAAAATGTCAAACCTTTGACTGGTAGTGTATGTATTTCATTGCATGTCCAGATAGTTTGCATTAAAATGTGTCTTTGTCACGTGAGTAACCAGTTTGCTTGGTTTCTTCGAAACTACTTGTAAAAAGTTGGGATTTTTTTTTCTAATCTTGATTTTCTTTTGTTCAGTGTTCAAACTTAGTTTAAGGGTTAAATTTAGGATTAGATTTAGGTTCGTCTAAGGGTAACTGCTAGGTTAATGCATGTAGTTTTTAGGGCTATGGAGTACCAGCACAACAAAGTAAAAATACTTTGTCACATGTAAACGTGCTTCTTTCTCAAGCCACCTAGTATCAGCAACAGAAGTTGCTTAAAGCATGTATATTTGACATAAACAGTATACAGTACATTATTATATTCATACTGATGCATTGGTGCTATCTGGTGAAAGTTTTAACAACATAAAGATCTGAAGTTAGACAAGGGGCACCAAGTAACCACTACATTTTTTGTAAGGAGTCACAAGCCAACAGGATGGAAGTGACATCAAAATTTAATCTGAGAACAGAAGTAACTTTCATTCATTTTCTACCGCTTAATCCCTGAACGGGGTCACGCCGGAGCCAATCCCGGCCAGCAATCAGGCGAGGTACACCCTGGACAGGTCGCCAATCCATCGCAGGGATAACACATAGATGAACAACCACACACGCGCTCCTATGGGCAATTTAGAGACACCAATCAACCTAAGCTGCATGTCTTTGGACTGTGGGAGGAAGCCAGAGCAACCCCACACAGGTACAGGGAGAACATGCAAACTCCTCATAGAAAGGTCCCAGGTGGGGCCTGAACCTAGAACCTTCTCGCTGGGAGGTAAAGGTGCTAACCACTGCACCACCGTGCTGCCCATCACAGAAGCAACAAGTAACTTCATTTTTCACATAAATGTAGTGGAGTAAAAAGGACAGTATTCCACCAGAAATGCAGAATGACACAGAAGAGGTAAATAGCATAGGACTGAAGTAATGTACAATTACAGATGCTTCAGTAGGCGAAGAAAAGATTCAGAGATTGAACCACCAAACCTGCAATTAATAGTCAACCAGTTCAACCACCACACATGGAAAGTAACTGAGGGGCAGACAAGAAACTCATCACCATGACATCATCATATGCACCATGATATATACAGTTATACATTCACAGACACTCTTATGCATACTGTACATAAAAACCAGCATAGAGAGAGGAGGAACAACAGACATAGACATACAGACACATGAATATGTAAATAAAAAGCAAGTATAAATAGTACATCAGGGTGCAAACATGTACAGACTCACAAATAACACTAATTTACAAGATAGGATGCACACACTCTCAGGACACACAGTGAAAAGTGTGTCACTTGTGATCGGTCACAAATTGCCTAATGCCCTAACGTTCTCTACCCCACATGGAAATCTGACCTTTATTTAATGAAACAGTCCTCACACACACACAAACAAACAAACAAACAAACACACACAAAGACACTTTCTTAATCTGTAATTCTCTTAGTTTTCTCTCTGTCATTCTAACACTTTGCTGAGCCTTGCCTGAAATAAGAACTAGATATCTTTAGATATACGTATATAGTAACCCAACAGACAGCAGTGATGAAGGTGATACAGGTGAGGGGGAGAAGGGGGGACAAACAGGATTAAAGGCATGAAAAAGATAAAAAAGGGAGCACAGAAGAAGAAAACATGAAGGGCACCAAGAAGGTAGGAAAAAAGGAAGAACAGGAAAAAATAACAAATGAATGAGAAGATTCTCCTTCTACCTTAAGGGGAGAGGAGCATAAGGAGAGAGTAAAAAAATCTAAACTTATGAAGAGAAAGACGACAAGAGATTGTCTTTGTGTTAGTATGTAGCTTATATGTGTGTATGTTAAAATGCATGTGTGGATCCTGGGGTAATAATCTCTTGGAAGTCATAGTAGTGCCACAGATAACATCGTGTTTACATCTCACATTAAATCACTACCACAGGCCAAAAGTGACAACAATGTGTGGGAAAACACTCTGATGTGCATGAAACACCCACAACGGTTTGTCAGGCAGTTAGCTGCATTTGATTATTCTCACTGGAAACATCCTTATATCTAAATTTTAAATTGTTTCTTCTCCCTGAAATTAAGACTTCATTGAATTTAACTGGCAACAAAGTACATATTACTTTGTTTTACTTTGTGTGACATATGTTTGAAAAGCTCTGCATGGAGCTATTGTACACTAGACTAGACTCTCTGCTAATAGTCACAGCGAGAGATTAACCTGCCACCTCCATTGAACCTGTTCATATGAACAGGTTCAATGGAGGTGGAATGCATCTTCAAAACACCTGTCTTGTACTTTATTTATTGAATGGACTATCATTGCAAGTGCTTTAGAGAAGGGACCAGGCTGGAAAAAATGAGACAAAACAGAATTAGAAGCAGCAAAATTAGAAAAACAGAGAAAGTGGAAAAAAATTAAACACAGCAGGGAGAGGAAAGAGGAAAGAGGACAGAAAGAGAGAATGAAAGAAATAATTTTCTGCCTGTCTGAGGGAGTTATTTAGCGGCTCGTCAACAACAGGCTCCCACCACCTTCAAAAGCTGCTCCATACTGCACTGAGATAAGCTCAGAGGAGGTGTGTGTGTGTGTGTGTGTGTGTGTGTGGTGAGGTCTCGTGTGTCAAATGTTTGGATGTGCGTTCATGTAGGTTCCTGCATACACTTTTATGTGTGTGTGTGTGTGTGTGTGTGTGTGTGTCTCTGTGTGTGTATGAGTGAGTCAGAGAGATGGTAGAAGAAAGAGGGAGCAGTAGAAATTAAATGTTTGTGTGCACATATGCGTCCGGCATGCACTGACAGAGACGTCTGTGTGTGCAGAGAAATGAAGTCCAGGAAACAGCCTCCCTCTCTCTGAAGCTTATCCATGCATGTATGTGTGAGTGAGTATGCCATCTGAGGTGTGTGTGTGATTTCAAGTGGAGCAACTAGAGCAAGACCACCCATCACGGGAACATACACACATACATGCAGTGTCTCTCTCTCTCTCACACACACACACGCACACACACACTATTGAAAATAGTTGATACAGTGAAAAAACTGAGCTTTTTCTTTTTCTGTACAAATTCAATTCCAGCTGTGACTTACAATAAGAGTATGTAAGCAGTTCTCTTTCTTTCTGTCTCTCCCTCCGTCGCTGTCGGTCCATCACTCTTTCTTCTCTTGCTCTTTTTCTCTCTCTCTCTCACACACACACACACACACACACGCACACACACACAGGCACACACACCCAAAACACAGGAACCTCTTCTAGTCAAAATGGAAGTGCTGCCATCTACTCTATGGCTGTGCTTCCAGTAAATGCACAAAGACGTTAATGCACTCACACACATACAAAAACATATCTACCCCATCTACTTTTTCTGTTCATTCCTTAAATTGTTAAAGTTTCTCATTTGGGGGAAATTGCTTGGAACATATAGTACTCTGACTCTCCCTTTGCTCTTGTTGTGACCTTTTCATCAGAGTCTGATGATAAGGCAAACACTGGGGCCTTGGGCACAAGAATCTTCAGCTTTTTTCTGATACTCTGTGTAATGAATTAAAATCTCTGTTATCTATAATTGAATGACATAAAAACAATTCTGAGAAAAGAAAACCATGCGCTATAGTCCTTTTATATGGAAGTAGAGGTTGTGTTCCACAGCAAAATGACTTCCATCTGTTTTATTTTGAAGGTTAAGAGTTTAATTGATTCTAAAGAAAGTAGACTCTGCACTGTTTGGCACATTGTGTCTGTACAGATAATAAAAACAATTCACAGTGTTTGTTTAAATGACACTTGTGAATACACAATTAAATGATGTATGGTTATGTTTTTTCCCACCTACAGGCATGGGACCCTGGGCTGAATTAAAGCAACCAATTAATCAGCCTGTGTCCTGTCAATGACTGACACACATTAACATCAACCAGCACAGGCATACATAGTGACAACTATGTGGTAAACAACACACACAGTGAATTGCAACCACGCTACCAAATGACCTAACGAATTCATTAAATCTACCTTTATTGACATACTAACCAAATAGCTAATTAGGAAAATTGTCAATGGAGCACTTGTATTTTTTAACCAGGAGACTAGCAAATGGCCTCCAGTAACAACCCA